TGCCAGTATCTAGTTTAACAGAGGAATTTAAATGTACCAAGGTCAGGACAGAGCTCTTGTTATCTGGGAGTAAGGACATGGTAGTTAGGAGTGTGGTTCCAAATCCAATCAAGGGGAGGAAGTGGAACCCAAGATCAGCAGTTCAGGAAGCAGAGGCAGCTCTTAGGCATGCAGAGATTGTAGGTAATGTTCAGTTTGGCCGGGGAGGCCTGGGGCTTGGCTCAGGCAAACCGGTATGGAATAAAGCAGGTCTCAAAGATAAAAGAAAGCTGGTTGTGGAACAGATACGTAGACAGGAGGAGATATTAAGGGGTGCAAAGGTAGTGGCCCAGGCTAAGCAGGGACAGTGGTTGAATTGGTAAAGTGTAGAGAAGAGGAAGTTTAGTTGGAGGGACCTGTGGAGTATGGAGGAGAATCGTATTAGATTCCTGGTAGGGGCTACATACGATGTGTTACCAACCCCCCAGAACCTAAAACTGTGGGTAAATGGGGACTCATCATGGCCATTGTGTTCAGGTACCGCAACCTTAAAGCATATTTTGTCAGGCTGTAAAGTTAGCTTGTCACAAGGCTGATATACATGGCGACATAACCAGGTGTTGAAAAGTTTAGCTGCAGGCATCGAAGGGAAACAAAGACAGGTAAATTCGGAAGGTTTTAAGAATAGGAGTTTAGCAGTTCAGTTTGTCCGTGAGGGGGAGAAATACAGAAGGAATAAGTTAGCAAGGAGGCAAGGGTGTGGCCGCCTAGAATATGCTTGTGATTGGGAAATGCAAGTAGATTTAGGGGGAAAGCTTGTTTTTCCCCAGGAAATAGTTTGTACTAATCAGAGGCCTGAAATAGTATTGTGGTCAGTGAGTCAATGGATAGTTTATTTCACTGAGCTGACAGTTTCTTGGGAAGACTCAGTGGAAGAAGCCTATGAAAGAAAAAAGTTTAGGTATGCAGACTTAGGAGCAGAAGCTGAGCAGCGAGGATGTAAGACTAGGATTTGTCCAGTGGAAGTGGGGTGTAGGGGATTCATAGCAAGATCAGCTGTCTTGCTCCTGGGGGAACTCGGAGTGCAGGGACAGAGTTTGAGGAAGACAGTAAAGAAAATGTCAGATGAAGCAGCTAGATGTAGTCATTGGATTTGGATGAGGAGGAATAATGTTAGTTGGGGGCCAGCAGGGGGAACTACTAAGCAGGGTACATAACTCCTTGAGATCGGATGGAGAGATCCACCAATCAGTCCTCTCAGGAGAAAATCCAGGAAGAGGAAGGTTATTTAAGTGTGGGAGTGGCCTATTTGAATCCCTTTTGTTTGAGACCTTGCTGCAAGGTGAGTGTGTTCACTGATCCTGTGAGTTTATCTTCTCTATCTCCTTTAACTTTAGCTTATATTGGAGTTATGCTATGTAGCGTGTGAAATAGACTATGGTGAATGTGCTAGGAAAGGTAGTATTGGCACTGTCTCTACCTGGAGCTTGCATAAACGGAGCCTGGGTTTGTTGAAGGTGGCAGTGCTGTTTGGGCTGAGAAAGCCATGTGTAAGTAAGGAAAAAGAGGTTGTCTTATGGGCTCATCTTGGGGAGGTAGACTGTAAAGCCTAACCCGGTGGGGGAGTGTTATAGCCTTAATTAGGCTATTCTCCGTGGGTCTACGTCCTCTGTGGTAGTATAGGTAAGGTAGAAATTGTTGTGAGGGCTCGTCTTGGGGAGATAGACTGTACAGCCTAACTCGGCGGGGGAGTGTGATAGCCTAACAAGGCTTCCTTCCCTGGGTCTACCTCCTCTGTGGTAGTATAGGTAGGGTAAAGGAGGTTGTTTGGTCAGTGTGGGGAGCAGTGAGACCTGGCATTAGGGGAGTGTCTCTGGGACGCCAGAGATCACTGTCTAGCCTCCTGGAGGTGTCGTGGGACCAACTAGACGAAACACTGGTGAAAGGAGGTTCTCACCTGATGACCCCAAAGACATGTTAGTTATCACTGCTCATTGGTCTGTATAGTTAAGCCTTGCCATAATAGCTTATGATAGGGCTTAGGAGGTTATTCACTGAGTGCTGATCCTTTCTCTAGAGCACAAACTTCTCGTGTTTATTTGAAGAATATGTCCATGTAATAGGCCACATTATGTTAAATGAAGGTTTTGTAGTTACCTGTTGTATTTGGTAAAGAAAAGAAAAATGAAGTATTAAAACATAATTGTGTGTGATATTAATAGGTAATAATAAATAGGTTTTAATGTGTAGGCCCAAACAACAAAATTGTGGTCGGCCCCGCTGAATCTCACTCCAAGGTTTTTTGAAAATTTGGCAGCCCTGGAGAAGCCGAAGGAGAGGCGCAAGAAGCGCTTCGCCACTACCCCGGCAAATTTGAAAGACTGCACTACTGCAGCATAACAAAGTCCCACTCTTTGAGCATAATGCAGGATCATGCGTATGCAGAATCACGGGAGACAGAATTCTTGTTGCTAAGAAAGCACAAAAGGGAATCAAAAAGGCAACGTGACTGGCGAATTTAAAAAATGAGGGTCAACATCAGGGTAGCCTTTCCCAGGTGGAAAGAGCTGCTGAAGGAGAAAGGTTTTAAAAGGGACGCAGAAGTTGCAGGTAAGTAAACTTTACTGCCTAAATTAGCCTACAGCTAGCTTTTTTCATTGGCTTGGTTAGCCTATGTGATTCGTTACCACAGGCAGCATATCAGTAGAAAAACACACTAGCCTCATTGGTGCAGGATTGACGGAATAAAAAAAAAATGTATACCCACTACCTCCATCAGTAGTTTTCTTTGTAGGCCTATCGGGCATAGACAGCGGTGGTAAGTGACAGTCTTACATCTGCTAACTATAATGTAGCCTATGTTTTTTTTCTCAAGGGACATTTCATTTAGCCTAATTCATGCTAAGAGTCAGGCCCGGACTGCACATAGGGAGAACCGGGACTATTCCCGAAGTTCTGTTCTGTTACTGGCCAGCTGGCCTGCCTGTCATTTTTTTCCCAACAGGCAGGTCAGGCCAATACAATCACAGGCCAGCGCCGCTGTCAGTGGCGTAGTGATGCGAGGAGAGGGATGAGGTGTGTGAGGTTGAGCCACTTGTCAGTTGTCAAAAGACAAGACGTGATTGGTTTGTTTCGATTTACACCCGCCCCAACAGTCCTACGTTGTAAACACAGCCAGCATGGTGAGGAGGGGGTTTGTCAACTCGCTTCGCGTGTGTCTGTGTAGGAGCCCACTGGCACTGAGACGTAAGGGAAAGTCGAATGAATGAGTACTCCATGAAGTATCACGTGACATGGTTTCATCAATGTTATCATAGCTTTTTAGTACACAGCGGCTACCGTAGTTGCAATACACATTTAAAAAAGTGAGGCGCTAGAGTGCGCTATCCATTTAAACGCAATATACGATTTCAACGTTAGATGGGAGAAATTCCTACACACTGTGTCTTTAAGGGACTCTGAACATGCCATGGTTGTTGTTGCCAGATGGGCTGGTCTGAGTATTTCAGAAAGTGCTGATCTATTGTGATTTTCACGTACAACCATCTCTGGGATTTACAGAGAATGCTCCGAAAAAGAGAAAATATCCAGTGAGCGGCAGATCTCTGGGCCAAAATGCATTGTTGATGCCAGAGGTCAGAGGAGAATGGCCAGACTGGTTTAAGATGATAGAAGGGCAACAGTAATTCAAATAACCACTCGTTACAACCAAGGTATGCAGAAGACCATCTCTGAAACAACACGTCCAACCTTGAAGCAAATGGGCTACAGCAGCAGAGGACCAAAGAGGGTGCCACTCCTCCCAGCTGACAACAAGAATGAGTCTACAGTTCACACAGGCTCACCAAAACTTGACAATAGAAGAATGGAAAAACGTTGCCTGGTCTGATGAGTCTGGATTTCTGCTGCAACATTCAGATGGTACGGTCAGAATTTGGTGTAAATTTTAGTGTAATGGTATGGGGGATATTTTATTGGCACACTTTGGGCCCCTTAGTACCAACTGAGCATCGTTTAAACGCCACAGCCTACCTGAGTACTGTTGCTGACTGTGTCCATCCCTTTATGACTGCAGTGTTCCCATCTTCTGATGGCTACTTCCAGCAAGATATCACGCCATGCCACAAAGTTCAAATCATCTGAAACTGGTTTCTTGAACATAACAATGAGTTCACTGTACTCCCATGGCCTCCACAGTCACCGTATCTCAATCCAATGGAGCCCCTTTGGGATGTGGTGGAACGGGAGATTCACATTATGGATGTGCAGCCAACAAATCTGCACCAAGAATTAAAAAGGGGGTCCAATCTGGTACTAGCAGGGTGTACGTAATAAAGTGGCCAATGACAATATGGCAATAAAAAATGTTTTTATAGGCGTTCTAAGCAGTCCTGACTGTAGAATAAGACACAATAAACCTATATAAAGGCCCAGTCATGCAACAAATTAAAACAATACTCTGATATACTGTCATACTGCCAGAATCTTAAAAGATGCCATGATACAACTATTTGGTCATACCACCCAGCACTCAACCAAAGTACTGGATGCATTTAAATGTTGACCTGATGATGGTGCCAGTTGAAAAGTCAGAAGACACCAAAGTAATTACAGCTCATCCTGAGGGGAACAACAACAGTTTTATCACAATCCATCCAACAGTTGTTGCAACATTTCACTTGAAAAATATGAACCTCGAGGTGATGCATGAGTATAGTTCTGGGAATCACCAAAGTCAGTAATTTATCCTCTGAATGTCAGTTTCATCTCAGTCCATTCAATAGTTCAGTCTGGACCAAAGTGGTGGACCAGCAGACATTTCTGTCCCCAGAGCGACAACGCTGGTGTGGCTAAAAATGCTTTTAAAACTGGAAGGATGGAATTTATGTATTTTAGGAAACAAGTTGCTTATATCGAGGGGTTTAGTCTTGAATTCTTCAATTAAAAAATGCCAATAAAGTGCCTGTATGCAAAACTCCCAAACATGTAATTACAGTATCATGTAAGATCAGATAACTTACGTGACATTGTCATAGTGTTGCTGTCGATGGTTACGTTGATAGTTGTGCTCACGCAGGTTCCATTTCTGGGAAAAACAAGAGAGTAAGTGATGAGGTCATACTCTGAGGACTTCTTATTCATATTGACTGATGAAGTTAAGATTTGTTCCACTGATGAAGACTGAATGATACATTTTAAAGCTCTGAAAAAGTCTCTTAAGAAGACCTTAAATTATTCTTTTGTCAAACTACTCCTGAAGTCAGCATGTTTGACTTGACTTTAGGCGTGATTTTGATTTGATTTATTTATTTAGAACATAAAAAAAAATAGAAATAAAATAGTATGCGTTGTAGAAAAAACCTACAAAACAGAGACAAACAGTAAATCATGAACAGACTTACAATGAGAAACATAAATTAACATTTCGTGTCCGAAAAGGAGTAGGAAAAAGCATCATGCTTGTCTATACTAATCCATCACTAATCAAACTATTACATAAATACACTCTCTTCACCATCAATTAAACACACATCTGCACCACTGCACTTCTTAATCAACACATTCTCATTCTGACCCTGTCACATATTGACATGCTTGGTCATGGACTTTCCACATCCACATACGATGTGCAAGGTACTCTGTGTGCGTTGATTGTTGATGTTCTGACACACCATGTCAAGTTCTCTTCTTTCAAGATACACCTCTGTTTTCACAGGGAATTTAACCTTTACATACAGTCTCTTTCCAAATAAACGCATTATGTTGGTACAACACCGCTCTTGGGTGAAGGTCAGTGTTTGTTGGACCCATTCACCACCCCTCCTGCCTGCCCCACTTTGACTTTCGCATTTGCCCCAATGACGACAGGCGGCGTTAAACTATAATTGCAACTGGCTGTGTATCAGGCCAGTGTATCATGTTAAAGGATGACTTTTTCGTTGGTTTCTAACACCACAAGTCGCTGCCCAAGCACCAGATTTCAGCGACTTTGGAGTGAGACCAGGCTCTCTTAATACCTGATTTCCAGTACTACCCCATGTATAAAATGAATACGAATTGAGAATACTGACAACAATCTCACCCTGAGTGTGCTTTACATTCCCTCTAATCATTTCTGTACCTTGTGAAGATACTGTCTTTGTACCTCTTTTTAAATTGTATGATATCTTTACTTTGTTTGATTTCTTCACCCAGTACGTTCCACAAAAAAATCACCCCATGCTTTTCAGAGTGGTGCGAAAACAACATTGTTTCAAATTTAGTCTACCTCTGAAGTTGTAACCGCCTTCCCTGTCCAACAACAGTTTTTGGATGTAGGCAGGTAGTAAGTTATTTCTTGCTTTGTACATGATTTGAGCCGCTTTAAAATCCACCAGATCCATAAATTTCAGTTCATGTGACTTCAAAAAGAGGTTATTAGTGTGTTTCCTGATAACAAACATTGTGTAGGATTCCTATGGCTCAAGTCTGCAGTATGTATAATGGTTGTTGGGTGGTTTTGTAGGTGTTTCCCCAAACCTCAACAAAATATTTCAAATAAGGCAATATCAGAGAACAGTACAGAGTATACAGTGCTTTGTAATTGAGTATATGTCTGGCTTTTCCCAAAACTGCAACACTCCTTGTCAACTTTGTTCTTACATAATGCCATATGTGGTTTCCAGCAGATTATGTGGTGTATTATCACACCAAAAAATGTGTTTTCGGATACTCTTTCAATAATAACATCATCTTTCTTAATAGATACTTACCAAACAGCATTAGTTTGGTTTTGCTCAGATTTTATAATTAACCACATCTTTTAATGCATTCATTTCTGATGTGACCACCTCCAGAACCTACTGTAAATTGTCCCCTGAGCAGAAAATGTTCGTAGATCCGCAAATAATACAGTTTTCAATATTTCTGATACTTTACATATGTTATTAATATACAAAACAAACAAATTGGGCCCTAAAACTGACCCCTGTGGAACTCCACAAGTAACGTTCAAACGTGAAGATTTATGTTGACCAATCTGCATGAACTGTTGACAGTTCAGTATATAGCTATTAAGTCAGTTCAACAAAACCCCTCTGATGCCATACCTTTCCAGACCATGGTAGCTGTTAATAAACTATGGTGCAAATCAATTGATATAATAGGGAACTATATAACTTGTTGAATAAAACACCACAAAGTAAATGTGGTAATCAGTCCATTCTGTTTCTAAACATTTACATGCTCGTCCAGTTAGGCCTATTATCAGTTAGAAATGAAAATGGACGTGTGGTATGCAACATGGGAAAAGTGTCAATTACATGAGTCTCACAGTCAATGCCTGAGACTCGGCAGCCCTGCAGTTAAAAACAGGGAAATTTCCGAGGACAGCTCCAGCCGAGGACAGACCAACAACAATGAGGGCAGTCCTTGGAAGACGGTAACAGTCCCTGGAAAATGGTGACGTCTGGTCACTCTGAAAAATTCCATAGGCTTTTTGTTGAGAGAACCAGTGCAACGCTAACAACTGCATCGGCCTATGGGGAAAGGGAAATTTCGGTTTATTTCAACCTGTCTCCTATCGTCCTAGGAGACAGGTTGAAATAAACCGAAATTTCCCTTTAACAATTAATAAATTCAGTGCCAGTTATTATAGCCTACATGCTTCCACACCAACTACATCATCACTTGGCAGAAGTCATTACACACAGTGAAGCTTTCAGCAACCTTGCACTACCGGTAAAAAGACCTACTCTGTCCTGCCTGCCTGACGCATCACATCCATACCCCATGTACTCCAGCCATAAGAAGGCAAAGTGATCATCTTTAGCAGGTTTAACGTGTGTTAGGGAAATTAATGTTGTGTTAATTATGATGAAAATATAACTACAGAAATTATTATGTTGTGTATTTGCACTATTACCCACTCACATCTTGTTCTCCTCAGACATAACGTCTCTATCGGCGCTTGATGACGGGCTGAGGTTTATCCAGCAGCTCTCGGTTAGCTTCAGGATGTTGTTAAAGACTTCACCATCACTGTAACCTGCAATGAGGTTTGTCCTGCCATACATCTGCACAAAAACATGGAGTCAATAAGTGACAGCAGACACAGTTATTTCAATAATGGAGGGCTTAACACTGAACCTCAGTGGTTTTGGTAACAATCATAATCTCTTGTTATTTGATCACATTTTTAATGGTACTTTTGCCAGTATTTAACTCTTCTTCTCAGGCAGACCTCTTTAGTCATTTAACATTTGCAAACATTTTCATGGGGAAAAAGTAGACCAGCACATTCATACTCCACAAAGTTAGGTGTTAAGCAAAAATTTAAAAAGGCACCTAACACTAGCTGGACTAACACAACTGTTCTGTGACAAATCATCTGAAATCAAAGGAAAATCAGACAGGTGAAGATGAAGATGAAGGCTTACTACTGAGCGGTCAGCCAGAGACAGAGGTGTGACTAAGGGTTGGCATTCTTCAGGTGTCAGAGCCGAGGTGCTCAGAAACAGCCCCACTACCAGGAGATGACTGCTGATCCACAGATTCATGATGCTGCAACTGATCAGCTTTGGAATGTAACTAGAAGAGATCTCAGGTGACAGCTGCACTACACAAAAGCAGCGATGACTGAGCTTCACCAAGCTGGTCAGCCTTTATAGAAGCGAAGCCTTTTTAAAAAAAAATTTGCCCAGAGTTGACCAACCCATATTCTATAGCCAGCGTTCCTCTCTGCAAGTTCAACAGGGATATCAGGGTTTGCGGTTGTTGTAGGATTTCATAACCACACTGTTGGTTTTGTGTAGTAATCAGTGACTGATTTGTTGAAGGGTCGTTTACTGTCACAAGCATATGGCATATTTTTCACAACTTGTTTATGAAAATGGACAAAGTGCAAAATGGGTGGTCTGGGGGCCCCACGCAGTCCCATGTAGACTTTTCCATACTTCCAGCTAAAAAATACAGTATTTGATTGGTGTGCCAAATTTCAGGTGCTCTAACATCATAAGAGTCAGCGATATGGCAAAAATGACTATCTAAGGTTGCAGTGTAGTGTTTTGAGATGCTAAAATGGTAATGTGGATTCATTGCTAGGACCATAAAAAATTTGTGTGAAATTGTGCCTATACGTGGACATTTTGTGTGTAAAGTCTACATGTCATGGTGCTGTAATAATATGGAAAGTGCAGTGTACTGCACACAAAATGCCCACACAAAGACCTCTTTACACATACATTTTCATTGTATGTATCCACATCACCATTTCAGGATCTCAATACAACAATAAATTGCAACCTTGGCTCATCATTCTTGTCAGTTCCCGGTATGTGGAAGGAATCCACAGTGGTACCTGTGGCAAAAGTCAGGTCTCTGAAATCTGCTAAACCATGCTAAACAGAAGAAGAAGAAGAACGAAGAGTGCGAAGATCAGCGAAGATGGCGATGCCGACACAGGTAAGACTTCTACTCAAACAGTGTTTTAAATGCTAACGTTACTTTTAATTCTTAAACGTTGGGTAAAATATTGGAAGATGATGACCCTTAGTGATTTTTTTTCAAAGCCACCAGACTCTATTTGAAGAAAACAAAATATTATTATTGTAAGGGGGGGGGGGGGGCAGACAACTTAACTATTCTATTATTGTCACTGTTAATCATTTAGCTTGGTATAGACAGTCTGGAGGCTACATTGCCCTGCAGTTGAATTATGTCTTTTTTGTTCAGCATCACATGCCTGGGCATTGATTGGCAACAGGAATTGATAAGCTCTGAGACATATGATATCGGTTCCAATTGTTCTCAATTTACCATCCCTAATTGTCATGCTGCATGATAATTAGGGATTACCATGCAGCGTCATAATAATTAGAATTGGTATTATGTGCCCCCAAGCTTATCAATTCCTCTCATCACTGCCCAGGCATCTGATGCTGAACAAAAAAGGCAGAACTCAACTGCAGGGCAGTGCAGCCTCCAGACTGTCTATAGCATGCTGAACGATGAACAGTGGAAATAATAAAACAGTTAAGTTGTTGGACAACAGGTAGACCTACTTTTCTTCACACAGAAAATTGATTAGGAATTGGACCAGTACGTAGAACTGATAATTCTAAAAATTCCCATCCCTAAGATTCACACGTATCATTTGAATTTTGAATGGTTTCCGGGTTACTTAAGGGAAAAAGCCTCTCATTTTAACAGTTATGTTATTTCTGTGCCTCTTAAAATTAGTTTTCAGTCAGACATTGTGGGCTCAGTTGATATTCTGTCACATTTCATATTACATTCATAGGTCTTATGAGCTGTCAGTAGTGCTTGAAACAATGAAATAATACTCTTTTTTTGAGTTTATTAGCTCAGTTGGAGGCTCACTCATTCAGTCTGCAAAAGTTTAGGTTCTATGCATAGACCCTCTGATCAAATACAAATATATTCTGACACAGTTATTGCTCTGAAAATGTACTGTTTATCAATGCATGTATTTACAAAACTGTACATAATTTATTTTCTGTCATTCTTTCAGAATATAGTGTCTACAAATGCCACCTTGGTTGTGTGGCCAGCAGTCACTATCATTAGCCATGTTTCCATCAGCCTGTTTAGATGCACCTCTAGAAGTATCGCATCGGAAAATTATGATGGAAACGCCAAAGGTCGAATTAAAATCCCCTGATTCGCACAAACTAAAATACGCTCACTTTAGCCGGGTTTTGGTTGATTTGAAAAAATGTTGATTCACAAAACGGGGGATGAAAACAGTTATGTTCGAATTAAGTCTGACGTAGCGCACCTCTCTCCATGGTGATATCCACACTCCGGGTCGGGAAGGCGGTAATGCATTTACAAGCTGGTTGCCAACCGCCAGAAAACATAGAAGAGAATGCAAGACTTGTTTTGTTTCCGGTTCTGCGGAAAACTCGCGCGAGTTCGTAGTTTTCACCAAAGTCCGTACATTTAATGGAAACACACAGGATTCGTATTTCTTTTAATGCGCATTTCCTAATGATTCGAATCACTTTTGGATGGAAGCATAGCTATTGTGGCTTTTGCCCAAAAATAATTATTAGAAAGGAGCTGTTCTATGAACACTTAAAGAAGTGCATAACTGCACACCAAGGAGTCAACACAAGTCCACCAATAGCTCCAGCAGCAGCAGTGACAGTCCCTAAAATATTGCTGTCATTCTGAAGCCCTGTCATCCAGGGTAAGTAGTTTTAAGTTCTTGCCAGTACTATTACCAAAACCTTCATTGCTTCATATTGTTCACCTCTCCTGGCTTCATGCATTTTTAAAAAGCAAAGTCAAAATCCAAACAAACAAATAAAAACATTTCAATATTTTACTGTACCTGTATGAAGTAGAAAGAAATTAGAAACACTTGACAACATGTATAGTAAAATATTTGTTTAATGTTTAGGGTGCTGGCATGTATGAAACCTTAATGAACACTTAAACCCATGCATGTCATCTTTTTCTTTTTCTCTTTTCCTCTTTACCTATTTTTCGTTGTAAAAAACGTTGATCAACATCCGCAATAAACTCAATAAACCATTTAAATATTTACTATTTAAATCACACTGACAGCGTTGGAGCCAACCGCAAGAATGTGTGGACTTTCGTTGGTTTCATTTATTGTTTGTCCTGTCTCGGTGGATATGGCGACTTTTGACATCCGTGGTCCAGTTGTGGAAAAATCAAACGTCCCAGTACAATAAATCAAACCGCTGTGTTTCGGAAGTAGACGTGCATGCGTGGTCACGTACTGCTGAGAGTGAAATCTCTGATCGTTAGCTCCATGCAGCTTGTTCAAGCTGTTCTCTGTGTTGTTGAAATTAAACAAAATAACATGGAACATATCTGCTTATTATGCTACTGATTTTAATTGGGATATTTTTTGATGAACTGAATGACATCTAACGGAGTGTTGCATGTCTTGAAGGCTGGGCTTATAGGAGAGAGGGAGATGTCCGGGCAAGGCTCCATCCAGCATGGACCAAAACACAGCACGGACGGCTCAGAAGTAAAAAAGGTTCTATGTTCCCCGCTTACACATAAAGGGTTCTATGTTTCCCACTTGACTGAGCGGGAAACATAGAACCCGGGAAACATAGAACCTTTTTTGCAGGGTTAAGTGGGGAACATAGAACCCGGGAAACATAGATATGCTGTCATTCTCGTGTGTAGACTGTGGAGATCACCCCCCAGTTGTAATTATGGATCTGCACAAGAAGGGAGTCTTCAGCATGCCAAGTGTGTACTTCTTTCTTTGCATGTTTTTTTTCAGAAATGCTACAGCCACTTACGATGACCGCTGATTGTTTGACTGTTGTTTTTCAGTGTGTGACTGCCAAGAACAACCACCTGAATTTGGGGAATTTTCTAAGTGGGAGAAAGGCTTCCACTGGGGTGAAACAGTTTCAGGGTAGGCTCAGTGGCTTGAAGTGAAATATTTTATTTACATACTCAAAGGAGATTACAAAGAATACCCTATAAACCTCCTTTTCCTGAATCTGAATCAAATAAATGCCCTCAACTTTGTCTGAGGGGAGGTCAACAGTCTCAAATATTGAGAAGTCTGCTCTCTGTATCCAACTGCATACATTTATTATTTTTTGTATATTTCCAAGGCTAAGCAGTTCATGTGTCTATGTGTTGTCTTAAACACACAGCAGTGGTTTTCGTCTGGTTGTTCCTTCTCTGGGTAATGCTGCGAATCCATGTGTGGTATTGTAGTGTAAAAGTTCGTGTCCAACAAATCAAGTAACAAGGTTAAGATACATAAGTTGATTAAGAGACAAAAAGATCATATAATCATGTTTCATGTACAAGGCATTATAAGACTCCTTGATCTGCATCTGAATATGATAAAACATTGTTGTATATGTCAAAGTATTCATAGCACCAGACTATGTAATCATGTTGTATGCACCTACTGAAAGAACACACTATGTCTTGTTTAATGATGAAACACATACTCTCAAATGTTGTAATACACACACACATTCACATATTGTATTCTAAAGGTTCACCTTGCATAAGACTGAGAGCACTGAGGACTGTATAAAAAGTCCCCAAAATTCACGTTTTTTAAAAATAGAGTGAAAGCGAAACCAGACCTAAGGGTAGAAGATTTGGGAAATTCCAGGCTGCATTACACCATTAAAAACGGGCCCAATCAGAATTGGACACAAAGAAAAGTTTTCCACCAATAGAATTGGACTTGAGTGGGAAGGATTAGCAAAAAGAGGTGGAGACTCATTTGAATCTCCACCAGCATATAAGCCAGGGTTCTGAGAGCAGTTTTTCAGTCACACTCCGGAGTCTGACTCGCTAAGTTGTATGTGTTAGAGCCTGTTGACACATTAAACTTGATTGCATCGGACTTTGCCTGTTTCCAGTGTTTCTTTAAGTATTTACTAGCTAAGCCTAAGATATCAGAATCGACATCTGAGGACAACTGACAAGAGACAAGAAGTTCAAGGTCGGGAGCCTACAGGCCCACTTCCAGGCGCCGACTTTAGACACTTCAAGTGGCGATTTGCCAGCCAGGAGAGAAGGGCGTGTCGGAGCCGGAGACCAGGAGCACTGGGCTGTACGCCAGACACACAGGTGGCCACCAAACTAAGGTAAGCAGAGCTTTTTTTTCTGCCTAAACCGGGTG